AGGTTGAACAGGTCATCAGGGCGTCACAAAGGTCAGTAAAATTAAGTATCGATGTATATCTCTTTAGTAAACTGTTAAATGTTGTTTGTAGAATTAAAGGTAGGTGTGTGTGTGTGTGTGTGTGTGTGTGTGTGTGTGTGTGTGTGTGTGTGTCGTTCACGCTCACACACACAGCACCAAAGTAATTAATATGAGGAAAGAACTAGGTATACCCAGTGTCAAAGATAAAATAATTGAAGTCAACCTCATGATAGCTCTTGCGTGGTGATCCTGATAACATTGTTTCCTTAAAATTGATAGAATGTATGAACCATGGGACTGGTGAATCTAAATGGATCCAAACTACAGCTACACACATGAAGATGTTTGGACTAGACCATCTGTACAAAGTTGAGACCCAACAGCACTTCCTTCCACCCTGGCGGACAGTTCCCTTCGATATCACAATACCGACATATCCGCCTAAAAAAATAATTATATACAAAGTATTTATCTCCAACACACTGCCAAAGTGAGAGCTCTTGAACACACACACACTCTACAGACTGATGATAATATCACACAGACCATCTACACTGATGGATCTCTTAACACTGCCTGCGGGAGGGCTGGAAGTGCTATCATTGTGACTCAACCTGACGGTAATACAATTGAGATAGGGGTTAGAATTAACAACTGGGCATCCACTCTACAAACTGAATTAGTTGCCAGACTCACAGCTATCAAATTCATTGAAACCACTGTTACTGACAGTCTTATCATCACTGACTCTCTATCCTCACTACTTGCCCTTGGTACCCTCAACTCAGGTTGTCACGCGCTTGTTTCTGAAGCCTGACACAAATAGACGTATCTTGTTGATCGGGGTGTCAAGATCAAACTGTTGTGGATCCCCTCTCACATAGGCCTCAAAGAACATGACAGAGTTGATGCCCTCTCCAAGCTCGCGTCTAACAAAGGCACAGTTGAATACAATTTGGGTCTGTCAAAAAGAACCCTTAAAACTGTAATTAGGAAGGAACTTATTCATGAATTTGACGCAAATAGACAAGTGCAAACAGGAACTAGTCGATTCATTGTTTACCATGATGAGATGTATCAAATGAAACATGTATATGGAGCAAGTAACAAGATCACTAGATTACAAGATGTTGTAACCGCCAAACACTCTGGCAGTATGTTCCTCAAGCAGATGTGAACAAGACTATATGTAAAGTGTGTGGCCAGACATATGGCCACACACATGAACACTACATCTTCGACTGTGTGAAGATGGAACCTTTTAGGGACAGGTCCAGGAACACTGTGTGAATAACAAGTGTGCGGCCAGACATATTGCCTCACATTCCTGTACTCACGCAGTTACGGATGTTATCCTTTATGTATAGAACTAAACAAAGAACTCATTTGAAATACCGTGTAACATTCAGTGCCATAATATCCTGACCTCAGGGGACAGTTATACTGACCCTTTGTAAACTCTGCTCTGTAAACCTTTTGTGCTACCGCTCACAGGATGAGTATGGGGTGCACAATAAACTAGCCGCTCTAAGTGACAAAATAAAAAATCACACACACACACACACACACACACTATTATGACCACTAAAATCACTCATTAAATCATAATTATTGAACAATCACTCTTGGTCCCTCCGTAAAAAAATATATATTGCAAATTTCACCACCATTGTTGATGCAAAAAAATGGTAAGTTTGCAAAAATTTTCAGCAACAGATTTTGAAGAGATGATTACGATATTAGTAGAGGGGGGAGAATGAGAGGGGAAGAGGGAGGGTGTGGGGGGTAGAGAAGAGGGAGTGGGGTAGTATGGGAGAAGCATAGGAAGGGAGTGAGGGAGGAGGAGGGAGGGGGGTAGGGGAAGAGGAGGGTAGGGTGGAGGGGAAGAGAGAGACGGGGACGTGGGAGAGGAGGGGGAGGGGAGGGGGAGGGTACAGTTCTACATAAGTACTTATGAAAAATTCGTCGTCGTCAGAATAACGTAAATTATATACATAGATTTTTCACTGACATATTCAGGAAGGGAGAAGGAGTCTTGAGGGTAGGGGAATGGAAGGGGGAGTTTTGTGGGGAGGGGAGAGAAGGGAGAGGAAAAAGTAAGGAGTTTTCGAGAGTAGGGGAGAGGAAGGGGGTCTGGCGGTTGGGTGGTAGGAAATGGGAAAAGGATAGGGACGCGTTGGCCAATCACAGGACAAGGAATTTCTCGATCCGCTGACACGTCGACCAGTGACAGCACAGGGCACTCCTCGATCAGCCAATCAGCAGAGAGCATTACCGTGTTGATTTTGACGTCAATTTATTAGAGAGAAGAGAGAGAGAGAGAGAGAGAGAGAGAGAGAGAGAGAGAGAGAGAGAGAGTCTTACTTTCTTCCAGGGTATAATAATAACTTTCTTCCCCGGAAAGTATAATTAATTTTTCCTTCAGTGAATACAAGTTGTGGTCATACACGTCTCTTATTTTGGCCCCAAAGGTAAATAAACAAAACCTTCAGAATACTGAGAATAATTTATATCCAGGAAATTGAGTCTTTCAAGTCCTCCCTTTCCCTCTCCCCTCCCCCTTTCCTTCCTCTCACCCTCTCCCTCTTTCCACTTCCTCTCTCCCTTTCCCCCCTCTACGCTTACCCCTTCCTCCTCTCCTCGCCTCTTCCGTCTTTCCATTACCTCCCCTCCCCTTTGAGAGAGAGAGAGAGAGAGAGAGAGAGAGAGAGAGAGAGAGAGAGAGAGAGAGAGCACATAACAAAGGCCTACTCCCCACCACCACACTACCTGGTTTTGGGAAAATTCCCTTCTTGACGTGAATAAACAACGAGGGGAAAAATTTCTCCCCCACCACCATGTTAATTACCTGGCCACGGTACAGTATATTAAAGGTAGATTAAACAAATAATAACGGAGAGGCCATTAAGAGATTAAATTAGATCAGGTTAGGTTAGGTTAAGATTGGTTAGGTTAGATTTAGGCCAGGTTAGGTTAGGTTAGGCCAGGTTAAGGGCAGGGTCCATTTAGATGTGAGGAGGTATCTAACTGACGCACTTAAGCTACGACTTACAGTTGGATTCTCAAAGGTTCTTAGGTTAAACTTTCCTCCTAACTCAAGATAAGAATATAAGAATGGAGGAAACTGCAGCGGGCCTATTGACCCATACTGGGCAGTCCCGTTTACACCCAACCCCTATCACTCATATATCCATCCAACCTATGTTTGAAGATATCCAGCGTATTCGAGTTAATGATGATGTTTGGTAACTTGTTCCACTCGTCCACTACTCTGTTTCCAAACCAATGTTTACTATCTCGCGCTTAAATCTAAATTTGTCTAATTTAAAACCATTGCTACGAGCTCGCTCCTGGTTGGATAGTTTGAGTACCTTTTTTATATCACCTTTGTTTAACTCTGACTTCCATTAATACACCTCGATCATATCGCCCCTCACTCTACGTCTCTCGAGGGAGTGCAAATTAAGATGCTTGAACCTGTCTCTGTACTCAAGGATCCTAATGCCCGGGATTAGTCTTGCCATTCTCCTCTGAATTCTCTCTAGGGATTCTATGTCCATTCTGTAGTACGGTGACCAAAACTTAACTGCGAATTCCAAGTGAGGTCTAACAAGCGCAAGATATAGTTTTAGGATGACCTCGCTAGTCTTGTAACGAACACTCTTTTATATGAACCCAAGTACTTTATTAGCCTTGTTTCGAGCAAATATTCATTGTTTACTTGGTTTAAGATTCCTACCTATCATTACTCCTAAATCTTTCTCACAGTCGGATTTCTCTATAACAACGTTGTTCATCTGATATCTGGTTTCTCTGTTTACATCTCCAAGACTAAGTACTTTACATTTTACATTTACTTTACATTTCATCTGCCATTTTTAATTTTCAGACCATTCGAAAATTTTGTTTAGATCTTCCTGAAGTTTTGCGGAGTCCTCGTCAGATTTAATTACACGCCCTATTTTAGTGTCATCAGCAAATTCATTTATGTTGCTGCCTACGCCTCTATCTACGTCTCTTATGTATATAATAAATAGTAATGGTGGAAGTAATGGTTAACGAAGGGTCAGGAATGAAGGTTCAAAGGGGGGTAGAGGTCAGTGAGTGAGAGAGAGAGAGAGAGAGAGAGAGAGAGAGAGAGAGAGAGAGAGAGAGAGAGAGAGAGAGAGAGAGAGAGAGAGAGAGAGAGAGAGAAAGTCAGGACCATCACACACCACGAGTTAATTTCTTACTATAAATAAAGTCGTAATTTGAATAATCACATGACGTTGTGTGTGTGTGTGTGTGTGTGTGTGAAAGCATCTACATAATATATCGTTCACAAAATATATAAAAATATTAATACTTTTCCAACTCTAAAAAAAAAAACAATTACAAAACCTACACAATTAAATTTCTCCCTAACTCGAATTTATTTAAAAAATCTAAAACAAATTAAAAAAAAAAACTGATTTTTTCTCCATTATAAAAAGTTGGAAGGTGAAATTTTTTATTTATAGAGATAGAAGAATAATGGGATGTTTTACCTGTATTCTTGAAGAAAGGAGGGAGGGAGGAAGGGGTGGAGGGGAAGGGGTGAAAGGGTGGAAGGGGTGAAAGACAGAAAGGGAAGGTGTTGAAAGGGTGGGGGAGTGATAAGGAGGAGAGGGGAGGAGGGGATGGGAGGGCGAAGGGAGAGGAAGGAAGGAAAAGAGAGGGGGAGGAGAGGGATGGGGAGGGCGAAGGGAGAGAAGGAAGGAAGGGAAGAGAGGGAATGGGGAGTAGAGGAAGGGAGGTGGTCGAAGGAGAGGGGAATGGATAAGGGGGGAAGGGAGGAGGTAGATAGGGAGATGGATGGGGAGAAGGAAGCGAGAGGGAGGAAGGAAAGAGAGTGAAGGAAGTGAAGGAGAGAGGAAGAGGAAAGAGAGAGGGGAGAAAGGGGGCGGGAAGGGGGGCGGGAAAGGGGAAGTAAGTTAAATACTGGATGTAATTTGACGTAAAATATGTAAACACGCGCACGCACACACACACACACACACACACACACACACACACACACAGTAAACGTCTCCCAGTGTTACCATAAGGCTGCCTCTAATCACCACAAGGGGTCGTTAGTGTGGCCTTTACTTGCCGCGGTAATGAGTTTTGGTCTAGTGGTAGTTGTGGTGTGTTTGTGTGTGTGTGTGTGTGTGTGTGTAAATCCCTCGTTTCTTTTGCCAACTTGCACACAGGTGGTTAAGTTAGAATGGATTACTGGTACGAGATTAAGACGGATTGAGATGGATTAGTGTGGATTAGACGGATTAGTGTGGATTAAGATGGATTAGTATGGATTAATATGACATCGTGTGGGTTAAGGTGGATTAGTGTGGATTATATAGGACCTAACCCACTGGACTCTTATATAATCATAAACAAGTATAGAATTTTATGGTTTTCTGAGAATTTAATTTATTGTTTTATTTTATTCTATTTGTTTTTATTATTGTTGTCGGTTTACCTTATTTCTCTCTTCCTTCATTCCCCTTCCTTGTTTCTCTCTTCCTTCTTTCTCTCTTCTTTCTACCTCCCTTCTTTCTCTCTTCCATTTGACTACCTTCCTTCTTTTAGCCTTTGTTCTTTCTCAATTTTAAGTCTTCCTTCCTTCTTTCTCCCTTCCTTCTTTCTCTCTTCCTTCTTTCTCCCTTCCTTCCTTCTCTTTCCCTTCCCCCCCTTTTTCTCCCCCTTCTTTCTCAGTTCCTTCTTTCTTCCTTCCTTCCTTCCTTCTTTCTCTCTTCCTTCATCATTATCCCTTCCTTCTCATCCATACATACATACATACATACATACATGCATACATACATACATACATACATACATACATACATACATACATACATACATATACACACATACACACACACACACATACATACATACATACAACAATCAGTTTTTATCATTTCATTTTATTCCGCCATAAAATCATTTGATACACAACAGGTAAGTAATAAAGGAGAACACCTGGGCACTGTTCTATTGTTCTTCTTGTTCTATGATACAGGGGGAGATAATGAACAGTGATACAGTGCCTTGAGGATACATAGACCAATAATACCAGTGATACAGTGATCTTTGTTCTTCGAGCGAGGATACGTAGCTAGAGAGAGAGAGAGAGAGAGAGAGAGAGAGAGAGAGAGAGAGAGAGAGAGAGAGAAAGACCCAACACTTAAAGTTTAACTAACATTAAGGCTCTCACACTGTCACCATCAGCATTACCTGTCAGTTTTCCATTGTGTCAGGGTGAGTCTGGGTGTGTCAGAGTGTGTCAAGGTGTGTTAGAGTGTGTCTGGGTGTGTCAGAGTGTGTCAGGATGTGTTAAAGTGTGTCAGAGTGTGTCAGGGTGAGTCTGGGTGTGTGTGTCAGGGTGTGTCAGAGTGTGTCAGTCAGGGTGTGTCAGAGTGTGTCAGGGTGTGTTAGAGGTGTCAGGGGTGTGTTAGTGAGTGTGTCAGAGTGTGTCAGGGTGTGTGTTGGAGGTGTCAGGTGTGTCAGAGTGTGTCAGGGTGTGTTAGGAGTGTGCTAGAGTGTGTCAGGGTGTGTTAGAGGTGTCAGAGTGTGTCAGGAGTGTGTCAGGGTGTGTCAGGGTGTGTCAGAGTGTGTCAGGGTGTGTCAGAGTGTGTCAGAGTGTGTCAGGGTGTCCAGAGTGTGTCAGAGTGTGTGTTAGAGAAAAACATCAACACATCACAATGGTATGAATTAATGTGGAACACCAAACTAATATAATTACTTGTTGTCTCTCTCACCTCTCACCTCTCTCTCTCTCTCCTCTCTCTCTCTCTCTCTCTTATCTCACCTCGACACTCCATCCATCCATTCAATACAGACTCCTCTTACCTGTCAAATTCCGTCTTAATAACAAATTTTGGACAGAAATGAAGGAAGGAAGGAAGGAAGGAAGGAAGGAAGGAAGGAAGAGACACAAGGAGGGGAACATATAGGGAGGGAAAACGTTAGACTAAAATGAATGAAGGAATGATGGAAGTAAATAAGGAATGAAGGAAGAAATGAAGGAAGGAAGGAAGGGGTGAGGTAAAGAATAAAGGAAACTAAAGGAAGGGAAAGATAAAACAACAAAGAAGCAAAAGAGGAAAGGAAAATGAAAATAAATAATGAAAATGAAGGAAAAATACGATGAGGTAAAATAAAGAACGAAGGAACTAAAATAACCAGAAAGAAAGAAGGAATGAAATGTGAAAAAGAGATGACAAGGAAGAGAAACAAATGAGAGAAAACGAAACAGGGTGGAAAAAAGAGAAGAGTAAATGAGGAATAAAGAAGAGACGGAGGATAAATGAGGGATAAGGAGAGAAGTATATGAATAATGAGAGACGATAATAATTGGAGAGAGAGAGAGAGAGAGAGAGAGAGAGAGAGAGAGAGAGAGAGAGAGAGAGAGAGAGTAGACTTAAGACTGTAAAAATAATAATAATAATAATAATAATAATAATAATAATAATAATAAAAATAATAATAATAAATAATAATAAAACAACAAAACAACAACAACAACAATGGCCCGTGACGTCACAAGGTAAACACTTATACACACGATCCCTCGACGATTCAAAATGGCCGCCAGGAAAGCCGACTCTGACCTCGGGGCACATTATGCTACTGACCTGTGAACTGAATATGCCAAGAGGCAAACTATTTCTCTCTCTCTGTCTCTCTCTCTCTTCATTCTATATTCATCACTTATTTCTCTTATTTTGCCTTTCACCTCTCACCCTCACCTCTCCCTCCTCACCCCCTTCCTGTTGCCACCCCCTCACCCCTTCCTTCACCCCTCACCCCTCTCCCCTCACCCACACTAACGACCCATCACATACTCCTACACTTGTCACTTTCGGTAAATTGGTGTCTTAACAACTGTGCCATTATGGTGAATCTGTTTATGTGAAGAAAAGAGTAAATATTGGTTAGGTTAGGTTTGGTTAAGTTTGGTTAGGTTTGGTTTGGTTAGGTTAGGTTTGGTTTGGTTAGGTTATAATGGTTTCACACACACACACACACACACACACACACACACACACACACACACACACACACACACTCCTGACACTCTGAATGTGAGGTTAAAATAGTCGAGTAACTCCCATTCTCTTTCTCCCCTTCTCCCCTCTTGTCCCCTAAATCCTCTGACCTCTATCTTTATTTTCTCTCTCTCTCTCTTTCTCTCTTTCAATCCCTCTCCTAGTACCCAAATCCTCTCTCTCTCACACAGGCGTCATAACCTACATAAAGGACGTAAAGAAAACTTGTAATAAATAAACAAATAAAGAGAATAAGAGATAACAGATATGAGAGAGAGATAGAGCGAGAAAGAGAAAGAGAGAGAAAGAGAGAGAGAGATAAAAGTAATAACCGTAGCCTTAAGAACATCAACAAACATGCACTAGAGACCAACTAACAAAGTCTCACCTGCCTCCAGACTCAAAGAAAACGGAATACAGTAATAAAAAACTGATCAAAAACAGAAAACGGGAAGGGGGTGATCGCTTGAGAGATGAAGAAAATGTAATGAAGAAAGAAAATGAAGATAGTTGTGTCTCTGGTTGGTTAAAGAAAATGGAACAAAGAAAATGTGAGAAATGAAAGAAAATGTAATGTATAAAGTAAACAAAGGGAGACTAAAGAAAACGGAGTGCAAACATAGATGAAGACTGAATGAATGATAAGTTGGAGACAGATGGAAAAGAAGGCGGAAGAGATATAGAAATAAGAAGAGGGGGAGGGAGAGGAAGATAAGTAGTAGTAGTAGGAGGAGGAGGAGGAGGAGGAGGAGGAGGAAGAGGAGGAGGAGGAGGAGGAGGAGAAGAAGAAGAAGATGAGTAGAAGAAGAAGGAATAAGAATAGGAAGAACAGAAGGCTAATCATCCTCTAATTATTGTGATTTATTATCCTATTTTACTTATTTCTCTTTTATTTGTCTCCTTCCCGTCTATTCATCATCTTCTCTCACTCTTCACTTCCTCCTCCTCCTTCTCTCCCTCTTCTCCTTCCATCCTTCACTCCCTCCTCCTTCTCCTCTTCTTCTCCTTCGCTTCTTCACCTCCTCCTCCTCCCTCTCTTCTCTCTCTCTCTATCATCCTCTTCCTCTCTATTCCCTCTGATTTATCACCCTCCTCCACTTCCTTCGTTGTCCCAGGAGTAAATAGTTTCCCCTTGTCACCCTGTATAGAGGCTGTTACTCACGGCTTCTGTTCACCTGACACAGACACACCGACTCGATCTATTTCGTCGACACAGACACACACAGACTCGATCTATTTCGTCGACACAGACACACCGACCTCGATCAATTTCTTGCTCATTGGTTAAGACACACTAATTGACTCGATCTATTTCGTAGAGACACTGATCTATTTCTCGACACAGACACACCGACTCGATCTATTTCGTCGACACAGACACACCGACTCGATCTATTTCGTCGACACAGACACACCGACTCGATCTATTTCGACACAGACACACGCAGACTCAATCTATTTCGTCGACACAGACAGATTTGCTATAATTCTTTCCTTCCTTCTCTCTCTCCCTCCCTCCCTCCATCCTGACTGACTAACAGTTAACACAACGGCGAAGATAAACAATTAATGAAAAAATCTGTTAAATGAGGCACTAACGTTGATTAATGTTTTGGGTGTTTGATAAAAGACCGCTGAGGAAGTGGGTGTAGTGGGTGTATTATATTTCCACCCACCTACACCCTATTACACCAACTTACACCCACGTAGAACCATCCACCCACACTTACACCCACCAACATCCTCTTACAACCATCCACACCCATCCACATCTCCTACACCTAACCACATCCACCCACCTACTCTCACTTACATCCACCCACCCACACAAACATACACCCTCATACACACCCAGCCACACCTACACCCAGCCACACACCACACAGGGCGGGACTGTAGGGAGAGTTGCGCGACATTGCTGTTAAGTAATGCTGGTGGACCGAACCGTGAACACTGATGCTGTTTTGTGAACATATACCATTTAACGGAGAGGGAGGGGAGGGGAAGGAGAGGGGAAGGTAGAGAAGGGGGGAGGGAGGTGGAGGGAAGGGGTTATGGGGGAACATTGGGGGAAGAGGGGAGAGTGAGGAGAGGGAGGGTGAAGGAGGGGTTTGAAGGGGAGGGAGAAGTTTGATAGGGGAGGAGAGAAGGAGGGTGTTTGATGGGGAGACAAGGGAGTAAGGATGAAAGGGGGATGAGAAGAGAGATGGGAGATGGACGGGGAGGTAAGGGGGAGGAGAGGAAAGGAAAGAGAGGTGGGAGAGGGAAAGAACATAAGTCTTGTTCATTCAGTGTAAGCCGAAGAGAGGGAAGGTGTGAGAGGGAGGGGGGGAAGGGAGAGGTGAAGGAGGGGGGAAGGAAGAGAAGAGGGGAAGGAGGTGGGGAAGAGAAAGGTGAAGCTACAAGTCACGTTTGGTTAGAGAGAGAGAGAGAGACAAAGGTAAGGTAATCAATATGACCTACCTGTAACATGGGATTAATTAATTATTATTGATTATATGGGGTAATTTGGGATACCTGATGGCTTCCCTCCTTCGCTCCTTCTCTCCCTCCTTCTCTCCCCCTCCCTCCTTCTCTCTCCCTCTCTCCTTCCCTCCCTCCTCTCCCCCTCTCTCCTTCCCTCCCTCCTTCTCTCCCTCCTATTCCTCCCGCTTTCTTTCCCTCCTTCCTTTCTCCCCTTCCCTTCTACCCCATAGCACATGCACCTCTCAGTCCTTCATTCTTCATACTCTTCTTTCTCTCAGCCCCACTCTCCCCTTCCTCACCCCTCTCTCTCCCCTCTCCCCCTTCACCTCCCTCTCACTCTTCCACACTCATACACTCTCTATCTCACTCCAACATTCTCCCTCCTCACCCTCTCTCACCTCCCACCCAGCACCGTCACTCACCCCTCTCACTCTCCCACTCAGGCCCATCACTCTCCCACTCACTCATCCCTCTCACTCTCCCACTCAGCCACGTCACTCTCCCACTCACCCCACTCACCCCTCTCACTCTCCCGGCTCTCACTACCCAAACAAGCACCATCTGGGTTCATTATACTTGTAGAGGACAGTTGACACCGAGTATCTCTGTCTCTCTGTCTCTTCCCCCTTTCTGTCTGTCTCTCTCTCTCTCTCTCCTCATCTATCATTCTCCCTATCTCAATCTATCCCACTTTATCTGTCACCTTATTCCCTCCCTCCCTCCCTCCCTCCCTCCCACCCCTTCCCTTCATCCTCATCCATCATCCTTTCTCCTCCACCTTCATTTCCTCCTTTACCTGTCAACGTCTTTCACACCTCCTCATCCTCCTCACATTTCCTCTTCCTTAGACCTCCTTTTCTTCCTCCTGACATCTCCTCCTCATACCCCCTCATCTTCTTCCTCCTCACTACTCCTCTTCTTCCTTATCTTCCTCCTCACTCCTCCTCCTCCTCACTACAGCATCTGCCGTCAATCTTACCAACGCATTTTGTCTCTCTTTACCGCTGACCTGAGGTGGTAACACTGACAGATGAGAGAGAGAGAGAGAGAGAGAGAGAGAGAGAGAGAGAGAGAGAGAGAGAGAGAGAGAGAGAGAGAATCCTGAACACGTTAACCCACACCTTTCATCCCCAAAGAAATATGAGACACCTGAGCTTAACCTGTGCTCACCATCTCTCACTATCTCTCACTATCTCTCACCATCTCTCACCATCTCTCACTATCTCTCACCATTTCTCACTATCTCTTACCATCTCTCACCATCTCTCACTATCTCTAACCATCTCTCATTATCTCTCACTATCTCTCACCATCTCTCACCATCTCTCACCATCTCTCACCATCTCTCTCTCACCATCTCTCACCATCTCTCACCATCTCTCACCATCTCTCACCATCTCTCACTATCTCTCACCATCTCTCACTATCTCAATTCTTCTAATATTGTCTCCTCTTCTTAGCAACTTGTCACTCTCTATCTCGCTCTCAAATACGATGATTTATGTCTCTTCAATTATTGTTGGGGGGGGGAGAGTTAGGTTAGGTTAGGTTAGGTTAGGTTAGGTTAGGTTAGGTTAGGTTAGGTTAGGTTTTCTTCTTCTTCTTCTTCCCTGTTCTTCATCCTCCATCTCCTTCCCTTTATGTCTTTCCTTTCCCTTCTTCCCCTTCCTCTCTTCCCTCCTCCTCTCCCCATACATCATAATCTGTCATCTTTCTTCTCCCTCCGTTATGATCAATCTCTCTCTCCCTCTCCTTCCTTCCCTCTCTCACTCCCTCCTACATCATTACACCCTCCTTCTCTCATCTTCACAAACTATCACTCTTGACATATTACACACCCTCATCCCTGTAATATTGTCATCAAAGAATATATATATTTTTTTCTCGCAATGGCACACTTTCATCTGCAATAATACGTGGAAATAAGATTCATACATTTGTAATATACTTTTTGTTAATCTATATATTTTTTTTTTTACAATATTGTTATTTTTTGGGGGTCAAGGTGATTTTTTATTTGTGATGTCTTTGTTAAATATACACACACACACACACACACATACATACATTACACACACACGCACGCACCCATCGATCAGTCTAAGCCTGTGTGTGACGAAGGATTTCGTTTCGTGAAATGAAATCTATATATATTCTCTCTCCTATTTTTATCTTATATATTTTTATTCCTTTCGCATTGTAATTCAATTTAACCTCACCCCCTGAACCCTTACTTACCCCTACTCCACCCCCCTAAAAATACACCACCCACGCCAGCCGCTCACACTCGCCATAGTTAAGAGCTAAAGGGTGTGCTAAGTATGCGTTAAGGGTGTGTTGAAGGTGTGTTAAGGGTGTGTTAAATGTATTTTAAGACTGTGTTGCTAAGGGTGTGTTAAGGGTGTGTGAAGAGAGCGTTAAGGGAGCGTTAAGGGTGTATCAAGGGAGCGTTAAGGGGTGTATCAAGGGAGCGTTAAGGGTGTATCAAGGGAGCGTTAAGGGAGCGTTAGGGGTGTATCAAGGGAGCGTTAAGGGTGCGTCAAGGGAGCGTTAAGGGTGTGTGAAGGGAGCGTTAAGGGAGCGTTAAGGGTGTGGCATCATCTTACACAACCAGGAGAGGATGGTTCACACGCCCCCGAGGCCTCAGCTCTACCTGCCTTGAGTATATAATATTATGTAAACCGGAGAATTTTTTTTAACCTTATTTACATTCAACCTAACCTAACCTAACCTAACCTAACCTAACCTAACCTAACCTAACCTAACCTATCCTAACCTAACCTAACCTAACTTAACCTAACACTACTCTAGTCTAAACTAACCTAACGAATAAGTAAGACCGCGATACTTAAAATTTGTTTTGTTTTCTGTTACGAGATAAAAATTAGTCACAACAAAAGTAGATCCAACACATTTTCCTATACTTTGATGTTACTTTGTCATTCAGTACCAGCAGTAAATCTCATATCAATTTTAACATACTTTCACACACACACACACACACACACACACACACACACACACACACACACACACACACACACATAATTTCTATTTTGTTTGCGAGTGAATTTCAATTTATCATCCACAGCGGTATATCTCGCACAGTTTCTATATTTTCATGCCAGTTTCTCAATTGCGGTAATGGATCCAACACAGCTCCATTATTTTCCTGCCACTTTGATCTCAGATTACAATACATATGTATATGATAATGTAAACGTGTATAATGCATATACTGTACTTGAATAATTTGATATATATTTTCGCAAGCGTATTTAGGTATGTGTGTGTATGTATGTACGTGACTGTGTCCGTAAGTTATGTGGATGTGGCTGTGTGTACTTGACAGGGTGTGTGTGTGTGTGTGTGTGTGTGTGTGTGTGTGTCGGCCCCTCAAGCTTGTCGTATTAATTAAACTCCGCCAATAGTTGTGTTGAGATATTAATTACTATGTTCTGGCCTGCTTCCGGAGGCCTGCGGTGACCTGACCTGACCTGCCTCAACCTACACTGAACTTGACTGACCTGATCTAACTCCTAAAGTAAATTTGACTGCCCTGGCCTAACTCTAAACAGAATTTGACTGACTTGAACTGACGTTTAACAGAATTTGACCTGACCTCACTCTAAACTGTACTTGACTGGCCTGACCTGTCTTTAAACTGAATTTGAGTGACCTTATCTGACCCTAGGTGACTCTAAATGATCTAAACTGACTAAACTGACTCTAAATGACCAGAACTGACTCTAATTCTCTGGAGGACCTGACCTGAGTCTAAGAACAGGCCAGAGTCGTATTAGATCCAACTTGGAAGTGACTAAACTGACTTAAGCTGACTTTCGGCTCTAAAATCTGAAAGTGAAAGTAGTTCTGATCCAGATTGATTCTCTCTCTCTCTCTCTCTCTCTCTCTCTCTCGTTTCTCTCTTTGTCTCTCCCCCTTTCTTTGTCTTTACCTGTCAGCCGATCTCTCTCTCTCTCTCTCTTTCTCTCTCTCTCTCTCTCTTTCTCTCACCAACAGCTCGTAAACGGCTTAGTGGTGGGGTAATAGCGTTTTAATGGTCTCCAGTACAAAGATGTGTTCTTAAACCTCTTGAGACCAGAGATAAAGGGATAATATTTCGAGAGATATCTCTAAACACTCTCGTACTGAGAGAGAGAGAGAGAGAGAGAGAGAGAGAGAGAGAGAGAGAGAGAGAGAGAGAGAGATCGGCTGACAGGTAAAGACAAAGAAAGGGGGGAGAGAAAAAGAGAAAGGAAAATGGTCAAGTGAGAAAGAAAAGGACACACACACACACACACACACACACACACACACACACACCTCAACAAGAACATGAACAAACTAAGACTCACTCGTTGTCAACACTCTTACCTGTTTCTAATTAACCTGTAGAAGGTGTGTTGGTTTTACCTGAGTTGTTGTATTCACTTATTAATTACAAGAGAGTGTCTCG